TTTCAAAAATGCCCGAAAACAAATTTGTGTGGAAAAGAAGGGCTGTCCTTGGGGGCACATCTAAGGGATTGGACGGAGATTGTCTTAGCCCGTCGTCCATTCCTGAGACTGGCCTGTGAAAGAATTGTCGAGACCAATTGGAATAACTGGTAGAAGAAAAAAAAAGCATGCGGCAATGGAGATGGGGGAGGACTCTTCTTCATTAGGAAGACAGAAACAAACATAAAACAAACAATTACAATAAAGATCTGTAAATGTAAAATGTATATGCTGTGACTATGTCTCAAACTTTTTGTAACTATATAAATAGTAGATCAAGTATAGCTTTAAGTATAGGCTAATCACACATCATACACACACACACACAAACTCGCTACACGGCCATAGGAGAGAGAGGGATGGCAAGCAGAGTCGGCACGCGCCGACTGCAATCGTATTGGCCGAAGATGGAACGTTCTGGAAGGGCAATAAAAAATTAATCCTTGGCAAACTTTAAAACTCGGCTGACCCGTCGCTCCGCGAAAATACCAAGTTCCGGAGTGTAGAAATATTTAAATATAATGTTCAATCGATCCCCGTCTTCTTCTCTCCCCCCGTCTTCTCTCGCAGGCCGGTGCCCTTCGCCGGCAATAACTTATCCCCTCCTGCCTTCCCCGTAGTACCGGAGAATTGCGGGTGCGGGCGAAGGCCGGACGGGAGTAGGAGTCCGTGGCCGCTGGAGAACTCCGGGCCCGATAAATAATAAAATAAATTAGATAAAGTAAAATAAATTTAATGAAGAAAATTGTAATTGAAAAGTGTATTAGCCGTTCATTAGAGGGCGAAACTCAAAGTGGTCTCGCAATGAGAATTTTATTTTTATTTCATTTTGCTGGTTTTCGAACTGAAAAATATATTGGAAAATTAGGAAAAATAACATGTTTTCGGTGGCAAGGTTCTTGCGCTGTAATTAAAAAATTTGTATGCAGAATAGGTTAAAATTAAACATTTTATGGGTTCCGCATACATTTATGCGTGAATACTTCGACGAGGAATTCCTAAATTCATAGTAATACGCTGCGAATTGCGGCCATTTTTATTGTTTATCTATTTTTGATCGGTGTGACCGTAGTCGTGGAGATTTAAGCCTAGTACTCTGACGAGAAAAATCCGCTGTATAAATTTAGACAGCGGCCAAACTCCATATAAAAAAAACGGTGTCGAAAAAAGAAGAATAAGAACTTTTAGCCACGTTGTTTTTTCCGGTACTCTGACGACGAAAATGAAGCCTGCGAAAATGGAATGGCGTTGCCAGATCAAGATAGTAAACAGCTGATATCGCGCTGTCTAAATAATTCATTTGATTTATTTAGACACCCCTAATGGAGGGAAAGTTGAAGGAAAAAGGTGGCATTGATAGGGGCTGTCAAGCGGAAGCCCATAATATGGAATTTAACCCCCAAAGACATTTTAATTCCATATTTACTAATATTTTTTTTTTTTTTTGGTCACACACTCGGTAACGAATTAAACAGCGATTCCGCTGTCTAATTTAGACAGCGGGTTTTTCTCGTCAGAGTACTAGGCTTTACCAATGAATTTTCTCTAAGAGAAAATGCCCCTGAGATTGTGCAAGGTAGTAGAAGCTCACAAAATAAATTAAAAATAATGTAGAACTAGGCGTTGTATATTAAAGAGTAGCGATCTGGGACGTTTTGGGGTAAGAATACCGGAAAACGCCGAAGAAGTGCAGCAAGTTTAGTAATACCGGAAAACGCCGAAGAAGTGCAGCAAATTTAGTAAAGGCCGGGTCCTTATTATGGAATTTAGTGTAATAAAGACAGTTTAAATACGGCAATAATCAGTTATTGGGCGGCGACGGTGTTGGTGCCTTCGGGAATTTTTTTCAGCACCATGGCAGTGAATACTTTAAAACATATACAGCTGTGTTCACGGAAATAGCAGTGCCCAACGACCTGCACGTTTAAGATCGGAAAATCCTGTTACAAAACTATTTTCATAAATTTTTTTTTCATAAAGGCTTAGTGTATTTAATTGTTAACAATACCACAATCATTTAATTTAGGTAACATAAACCTTATAGAAGATATAGCTAATAACAACAAAAAAGGTCTATATTATGCCAATCATTGAAATAGCAGTGAAAAACTAAAATTCTTCATAAATTTAAAAATATCGTTTAAGAAACCTATTTCTTTTTAAATTCTAATTGACTATGATCTAATATTTTGTTAAATTGCCTTTATAAGCTATCATAGCCTCATACCTGGGTGGCATGGAGTCCACCAAGTCTTAGCAACGCTTGAGGGGAATATGGCCTCATTCCTCCTGCACAAATTGCCACAGCTGCGGCTTAGAAGTCGGAAACTTCTTTAACACGTAGCCCTTGATGTCCCCCATAAGTTTTCGATCGGAATAATATCCGGGGACTGTGCAGGCCATGGCAGTGCATCCACTTTTTCATTAAGAACCCACTCCTTGGCCACCTTGCTGGTATGATTAGGGTCACTGTCCTGCTGAAATGTCCAAATTAATGGCATATTTTCATCAGGATACGGCTGCAAGACAGTTTTTAATATTTCGACATAAACATAATTGTCTTTGATCCCACCGATCATATATACGGGACCTACAACGTTGTATGAAAAGTATACCCATACCATGATTTTTAGGCCACCGTGTTTTACTGTCTTCAGCGTATGGTTTGGGGGGTACTATCTATTTGGAGGTCTTGTCTTGTCCTATTCCACCAAATAAAACCAGTTTGGAGTCATTTGTCCAAAGGATATTACCGCCATTTGAATACTGGCAGTTCAAGTGGCTATTGGCGAACTCGGATCTTGCCTTAATATGCCTTTAACCAAGCAGTGACATTTTCCATGGACTTCGCGAATCTAAAAATTCTTCAATAAGTCCCCGGCGAATAGTCCCATGACTGATTCCCATGCCAATTCCCGCTCATATATCCCTAGAGGATGCAAAAGGACGAGCTTTGCTGAAGCGAAGTACGCGTCGAGCCTGTACAATTGTGTTTTTGCGAATCGTACCTCGGTTTTTTTGGGTTCGGTTCATATTTTATGACTTATAAACTATTTTAAAAGAACAATTTGAAAGATTTAGAGACTCTTTACATGTTTTGCCCTTCTTTCTAGGCTAAATTATCTGATATCTTTCTCTCATGGAGCAGTGAGGTCCTGCGCCCACTAAAATAATTTTTTTGCGTTGTAAAGGTGTATTATAGTATAAACTATAATAACGACCTTAATTAAAGTCATTTTTTACAAAATTAAAAGAAATTTCGGCACTTTTTGCGAAAGAAAATTAAAAACTGCTATTTCAGTGATCGGCCAAAACGAGCTGCATATGTGAAAAATATCAATAAAACATAAAAATAGAGCAAATCTAACGGAATTTTTTCTTGATTCTTATCTTTATGTTCCATTTTACAAAAACAATGTGCAATAGATCAGCTTGCAAAAAGGAATATGTACAAAAAAACGTTTTGAAGTTGTTCGTCTGTCGCACTGCTATTTCCGTGAACACAGCTGTAATTCCAACATCCAATTCCTTGAATACATTTTAAGTTTTCTTTATTTTCTATGGACAGTATCGAGAGGGTAGAACAGCGTTTCAAAGCAGTGAGAGAGAGCAAGACACAAATAGTTTTAAACTGATGTTCATGAGCGCCGTTTTAAAATGTCTGTATAAATTGGCAACATCAAAATACTATCAAACGGCTTGACGCTAGAAGATTTTGATTTCATCTAGAAATTGGGCAATTATATTTATGTATTTGTAAAAATAAAAATAGGAAACCAACAACTGGTTAAAAACAACAAAAAGAACTATTGCCGATTTTCAGGGTTTGCTTTTGCCTTTACATCGAAACTTACGATTCCCAACGAGTCTAAGCGAAGATTGAAGGTAAAGTACCAAGAAAATTAGCAATAGTCAGCAAGTGGTCTGATGAGTTTGGGAAGCTCCAACGAAACGATCGTCACCACAGCTGCTGCTTGTCTATTGACAAGTTCTTTTTGTTGTTTTTAACAAAAGCCGAGTCTTTGATTTTTATAAAATCGAAGCCGGCTATGACCTCAAGTCCCGCAATTACGAATGGAACCAGCAAAGATAAAATGGCTAACTTATCGCCTTGCCGATCTCGCAAATCTTGATGCATCTGGCATAGATTGTTCAACAAAAAGACATTTCTGATTGCCAGCTTTATCTGCGGCTGGGTTCGCCGATGAGGTCTATGGCGTGTACATCTAGTCCTATCATGTTCTTTCCAGACCCGATACTAATCCAACATGGAGTCCATATAGAATCAACGAGCGAAACATAAAAAGCGAATAAAACAATTAGAAATTTACAATTAGTACGTTGTTTTCATATATTTCTACATATTACTGTGTATAGATATGTACGTAGTAAGTTGATGTACATATGCGGTTGCCGCTTATATGAGTAAAAAGTTAACCAAGCAAAGGGTGCTGCTCATACATATGTACATATGTATGTACATACATGGCACCGCAAAGACAGAGCGGATGAAAGTAAAGAAAAACACCGCACGATTTTTTTATGCAGTGCTTTGAGATACGAGTTCAAAAAATAAGTTTTGTTTACGCGGTGCACTAAAGATAGGCACATACTATGTATGTACCTATGTACATACATATGTATATGGTAGTATTGACTCATACATATGCATGAAAATCAATGGACGCATCCAAGAACAATGTGTGTACATATGTACATACATACATATGTATATACCATCTGACAATATTGAGTTTAATGAAGCTTTACACATTATGTATTTACACTCATGCATATGTCCGACTTTTGTACATAGATATGTACATAAATGTTTTCCCTTTTTTCAATAACAATAAACAACACCTACATACATACATATATATGTATGTATGTTTCTTTATCCTGTGAGATATATACATACATCCATACACACATACATAAATTTATAAGAGGTAACTTACCTATGAGTCGATTTTTCTTTTTTACTTTACTGTTACAATGTCTTGCAAAATTAAACTCTTATAAAGACAATAACTTTTCTTGAAATTAATATATTTTTTATTGTATTTTTATATAATAATATGTAGATACGTTTATTATTTGATTTTAATTGTTATTCCTTGTTTCCGAAAAAATTTTGTCGTTCACTGAAACCACAAAATAAAATTTTAATGGGTTAAACAATTATTTTTAAAGCTTACTGTTTACTTCATTTATTCAATCGACAACCGAAAGCTATTCATCAACAAGGATTCACTGCACAACATTGGGTCCTTCGGAATTTCTTTAAAATGTTCCTAAAAAATACTGAATTGGTTCTTGTCTTAAATATATAAAGCTTTTAAAGCCTAATACTGTCTTCCCACACAGCGCATTTGTGAGGAACGTTTGGGATTTTTCACAAATGTGAAACTCGTGTTCCCACACAACATTAAAGCGCATTTAGCATCCGAACAGCTGATCGATCAGCTGTGGCTCATGAAAACGTAAACAAAGGCTGTCGAATTGGCAGTTGCAAATTTGAAATGGAGCATTTACCAACTATTTTGGCTGTTGTACAACAGCAAAAGGCACTGATTGCGTCAGAATTTATCCGCAATAAATTGTAATGAATTAAATGACAAGGAATTTTAGTTTTTCTAATGATTTTTCTCTAACAAAGAGCAAATTCCCCGAAGAGTGTCTATAGGTGGTATAGGCATCCAAAATCTTTAAAATAAGGTAGAGGTAGGCGGTTTATATTAAATAGTAACAATTGGGGACATATTGGGGCAAGAATATACAGAAAAAACGCCAACATCTATTTTGGGCATGCTTGTAGCTTTGGCGCCACGTTTTAAATTCCATATCTCATTTGTTTCTCGCCAAGTGTGTATACACTTTCGTAGTGTTGGTCAAATTTTCAGAGTTGCACCGAAGAACTATCGCCTAACTATCGCCAAACAAACCGTGGTTAGATTTTAATGCTGAACTAACGCCGGCCCATTTGGGAAAATTCGGAACGGCAAAACCTTATGGAGCATTTGTTCAACGGATGCTAAATGCGCTTTAATGTTGTGTGGGAAGACCCTATAATACTGTCTTCCCACACAGCGCATTTGTAAGGAACGGTTGGGATTCTTAAAAATAAAGGGAAACTCGTGTTCCCACAGAGCTGCGTTAAAGCGCTTTCGCATCGGAACAGCTGATCGATCCTGCATTTATTTATGCAAGAAATCTTCGACGAGGAATTCAGAAATTCATAGTAATACGCCGCGAATGACTGCCGTTTTTTTTTGTTTACCTTTTACTCGGTGTGACCGAAGTCGTGTTACCAAATGACACATATAGTGGACTCTTTCAAGGTTCTAATGAAGTAGCTCATTAAGCCTAGTACTCTGACGAGAAAAAACCGCTGTATAAATTTAGACAGCGGCCAAACTCCATATAAAAAAAACGGTGTCGAAAAAAAAGAAGAAGAACTTTTAGACACGTCGTTATTTTCGGTACTCTGACGACGAAAATGAAGCCTGCGAAAATTGAATGGCGTTGCCAGATCAAGATAGTAAACAGCTGATATCGCGCTGTCTAAATAATTCATTTGATTTATTAAGACACCCCTAATGGAGGGAAAGTTGAAGGAAAAAGGTGGCATTGATAGGGGCTGTCAAGGGGAAGCCCATAATATGGAATTTAACCCACAAAGGACATTTTAATGCCATATTTATTAATATTTTTAATATTTTTTTTGAATATTTGTTTACAAACAGCTGTCCAGTGTGACCAAAGAAAATCCTTAAACGCCATAAAAAGTACATTTTCATGGCATTTCAGGATTTTCCTTAATTTTTTTTGGTCACACTAGCTCGATAGCGAAATAAACAGCGATTCCGCTGTCTAATTTATACAGCGGGTTTTTCTCGTCAGAGTACTAGGCTTTAATGAAAACTGCATTAGAGTATCATATGGCTATAAACAAAGACTGTCGAATTGGCAGTTGCAAATTTGAAATGGAGCATTTACCAACTATTTTGGCTGTTGTAAAACCGCGTCAGAATTTATCCGCACTAAATTTAAATGAATTAAATGACAAGGAATTTTAGTTTTTCTAATGATTTTTCTCTAACAAAGAGCAAATTCCCCGAAGTGTCTATAGGTGGTATAGGCATCCAAAATCTTTAAAATAAGGTAGAGATAGGCGGTTTATATTAAATAGTAACAATTGGGGACATATTGGGGCAAGAATATACAGAAAAAACGCCAAGAACTATTTTGGGCATGCTTGTAGCTTTGGCGCCACGTTTTAAATTCCATATCTCATTTGTTCCTCGCCAAATTGTTTACATTTTCGTGGTGAATGGTCCAATTAAGAAGAAGAATCAGAGTTGCACCGAAGAACTATCGCCTAACTATCGCCAAACAAACCGTGGTTAGATTTTAATGCTGAACTAACGCCGGGCCATTTGGGAAAATTCGGAACGGCAAAACCTTATGGAGCATTTGTTCAACGGATGCTAAATGCGCTTTAATGCTGTGTGGGAAGATCCTATTAACAAATTTTTTTTAATTCATTTTTTAACACAACCTTAATATTAATAAGTAGAAAATAACAATGCCTTCAAAATGACTATATATATATACATAAGTATTTTTCATTTTAAAATGTTCCTAATACGGTCTTCCCACACAGCGCATCTGTGAGGAACGTTTGGGATTTTTCGCAGATGCGAAACTCGTGTTCCCACAGAGCGTCAAAGTGCATCTGGCATCCGAACAGCTGATCGATCAGCTGTGGCTCATGAAAACGTAAACAAAGGCTGTCGAATTGGCAGTTGCAAATTTGAAATGGAGCATTTACCAACTATTTTGGCTGTTGTACAACAGGAAAAGGCACAGATTGCGTCAGAATTTATCTGCACTAAATTTAAATGAATTAAATGACAAGGAATTTTAGTTTTTCTAATGATTTTTCTCTAACAAAGAGCAAATTCCCCGAAGAGTGTCTATAGGTGGTATAGGCATCCAAAATCTTCAAAATAAGGTAGAGGCAGGCGGTTTATATTAAATAGTAACAATTGGGAACATATTGGGGCAAGAATATACAGAAAAAACGCCAACAACTATTTTGGGCATGCTTGTAGTTTTGGCGCCACATTTTAAATTCCATATCTCATTTGTTTCTCGCCAAGTGTGTATACACTTTCGTAGTGATGGTCAAATTTTCAGAGTTGCACCGAAAAACTATCGCCTAACTATCGCCAAACAAACGGTTGTTACATTTTGATGCGCTTTGATGCAGGTCCAATTGAGAAAATTCGGAACGGTAAAACCTTATGGACCGTTTGTTCAACGGACGGTAGATGCGCTTTGACGGTGTGTGGGAAGACCCTATAACAGTCATCTTCTACATCAAGTTCTATTGAAATCGGATTTTCAGAGTCAGAATCTGAATCACTATCACTATTGCTCCGTGCTAAGTACTGTCTTCCCACACAGCACATTTGCTAGGAACGGTTGGGATTTTTAAAAAACGTGAAACTCATGTTCCCACAGAGCTGCGTTAAAGGGCATCCGCATCCGAACAGCTGATCGATCAGCTGTGGCTCATGAAAACGTAAACAAAGGCCTTCGAATTGGCTGTTGTAAATTCGAAATGGAGAATTTACTAACTATTTTGGCTGTTGTACAACAGCAAAAGCACAGATTGCGTCAGAATTTATCCGCTGTTGCATTTCAGTCGCAATGGGCTGGAGGGCTATCGATAAATCGATAGAGGTAGGATCGGTAGGACCAGAGGGAGGCAGGGACTGATGAGCGAACCGGGAAAATCAAAGTTAAGAGAAAGGGTGTTTACCCTTTCCAATCGGCCGTTACACTGAGCGCCCAAAATTACGGTAAGCCGAAAATTGGGACTTAGGTAACGGAGCCTAAATAGGGGGTAGAAGACAGAAAAAGGAAGATTAGCGGGACGGCAGCCGGTGCAGCAGATTGAACCTAGTGGAACAAAAAAAGATTTAGAAAAAATAAAATCGTGAGTGAAGTGGAAAAGGAAAATAACCAAGATTGGTTAGTAAAAGGTGTTTTTTTCGTACAGCGTTGCCGTGAACAATTACACGGGCCACGGGTTTTTTTTTATGTGCTTTTTGTGTTGGTGCATTCGCCGTCTCCGCGTCGCTCTGTGGATTTGGACTGGGTGAGCCCCTCATTCCCCAAGACACCTGCGCGACATCAGGTCCCAGCATACTTGCGTGTCAGCGGCCGCCAGCACAAGCCGCCATCAGGCGAGATCGGAAGCCATCTGGAGGACAGCGGTGACTCCGTTCCAGTCGACCTGTCCTAGCCTAGGTGGTCGGCTGAATTTCCGCCGCCTATAGGGCCATAACATTTCCGCCCCGATCCTGGCCGCATGTTCTGCCGCCTATAGAGCCATCTATCTCCACCGCCAAATCCTGGGCTTCGCATGCCCCCATACTGGCCATTTGAGCCAGCCGCCGGCGAGATATTATATTGTATACCCAGTTTTTTTTAATAGTCGTTAGTGTTTGGATGTATTTTTTTTTGTACTTACCTGTCGCCGTACCTTTTCCTCTGCGTAGTCGTTCCTGTTGTCCGGGATTTGAGCAACACAATGTGCTGCGAATTAAAAAATTAAAAAAAAGAAGGAATTTTATGTTGACCCACCCTTGCGGTTTCTTTTGGAGCTCCAGTAGGGACCCGAGGTAGAAAAAGCAAATCTGAAACGACCTATATAATGTATTAAAGAGCAATGAACATGGAGTAAGCATTATTACCTGGGGGGAGATGAGTCGGTCGCCAGACCGCCTGAATTAGGCTCCGGTCCGCGGGAGAATGGGTGATGCCCCAAGCTAACTAGGTGGCATGACTGGATGGGTGGGTGCGTCGTGGCATCCACATCTAAGCCACCAATTCGTCCCAAATTGTCGTGTTTTTTTTTGTCAGGAGTTTTTCCGAGACGTGCGATTAATCGGTATTTTATTGTGCGCACTGCGGGCATCGGGTCGAACCCGCCCTGGGCCACCCTGAGCTAGCCCGGCATTGCCCAGGGAAAGATGCATTGCCAGGGAAAGATTCCGTAACACCGCACTAAATTTAAATGAATTAGATGACAAGGAATTTTAGTTTCTCTAATGATTTTTCTCTAACATTGTAAGGATGCTATGGCCAGGATAATGACTCAGTCGGCCCAGGAGTCCTCTACAGAAAATATTTATAATTTTACGGAGACAGGCAGGAGAAAGGACGGGCCCGGAGGCCGGTATGTTTATTTGGGTGCGAAA